ATTGTATTATATATATATATATATATATATATATATATATTATTGTATATATTTTATTATATATATTTTATTATATATATATTTTATTGTATATATTTTATTATATATATATGTATATATTTTATTGTATTAATTTTTTATGTGTAATATTTCATGTAATTTTATTTTTTAATATACTTAAGATCATGAATACATATATACATATATACATATATATATGTATATATTTTATTGTATTCATTTTATATGTGTAATATTTTATGTAATTTTATTTTTTAATATACTTAAGAACAAAAATCCATCTATTCCTATTATTTAAGTCACTTCATAAATACTTTATACCATATTTTTATCTTTCAAAAATGCTTTCAAACATTTTTATTTTTGAATCTATATATATAAGATACAGGCTATGGATATAAATTTTATTCTACATTTTCCATTGATTCTTACATATAGGATAACCTCCTCAAATGTAAAATGTCTGTGTTCAATCGAAAGTTAGCCACATTCTTATTTACATGACAAATCTTCAAACTCAATTTTTTCGAAAACGAAGGCTCAAACGAAAAAAGTATATTTCTCTCAACATATTTTTGCATATAAAATCGCCTCTTATTCGCTATTTTATTCATTTTTCATGTATTTTTCAGAATTATGTTCTTTATACATCGTTTATAATGCGGTTTATATAGCGGTACTGTTCACGAGTAAAATTCAACCAATCAAATCCAGGCACAGTTTTAGAGATACCTCGTCCCTCAAATGGGCTTCACCCCTTTATCGATAAACTCTGCTTACGTTCTATCCTTATATTCCTACATCTATGGGTTCAAGACATCCTGATGGAAACACTTAAAAACAATCTTATTCCTTTTTCTCACATTCTTACTTTTCTAAAAACTTCTGATCACTACCTATAAAATCACTATGTAACTACTAGGATAATTGGGCTGTTATCCCCTATCCAAAAAAACATTTGTCAGTGGTATTGGGGCAATATAAAGCGGACAGGTTACCTGCCACCAGAATTGAAGGAAGGAAGGAAGGGCTATACTGATTGGCCGACATTAAGGCCGGTATTCATAGTCAGTTTTTATATTTAAATTTATCTTCAGATGCTTTTGTGACCGAGTGTAACTAAATAAATAAATAAATCGATGTCAAACCGTCCGCGCCTTCCAGGCCGCGCCGAACGTCTAGAAATTAACTTCTCCAAGAATCCTGATGCCCATACACGGTCGCCAGGGCGTTTTTAAAATCCCGCTCAAACTCTCGGCCTAAGAAGCTGGACCGGCCAAGTCTCCCCAGATATGCCGTATAGTGGTTGGTGCGCGGAGGGATTTTCCTCCCCGGCGGCGCTATCGTCTCCGAAAAGATGCTCGAGTCGCAGGACGCCCGCCTCAGATACACAGTATGAAAAAGGGAAGGCACGAAAAATGAAGCACGTATTCTTAGAAGCGAATAATTAAATTCTATTTATTAAAACTAAAAAAATACCAGCGCGGTAAATGATAATGAGATCAACAAATAAAATATGGATTACAAATGCTCAAAAGAATAATGCAAAACAAACGAAAATACTATGAAAGGCTTGATTAGGATTAACGCGCTTAAAAACTACGAAATGCCTAGATGTATAAACAAGTAATACTTATAATAAAACGCGACTAACAATTATGAGATGAAATCCTGAACGAATACTATACAAATCCAATTTGTAAAAGAAAACATACATGGAAAACGGAATTATTTCCAGTACGTCGATAAAAAATATTGCAACGCAGTTTCGTCCGCGGCTTCTTTATCCCGCCCTATTGCGACGCAGGACTCTCGTCGTAAGCAAGTCGAAACACGATCGGGCACACACGGCGAGACGACGCAGTATGCGTCGTTTATCGTACCGAGTTGCCCCCTGATCCTGCCGACGCCGGCTTATTTCCTTCTGAATGAGGTTTTTTGGTTCCGATCACTCACGTCGCGATCCGCGTTAATTTACGCACCGGACGCTTTATCTTCCCGACGAAAGGTCTCGAACGAAAGAAAATTACGGGGGAAACCTGTGGCAAATTTATACACCACTTACCGTCGCAAGAGTGACCGGTCGTTTCCCCACATCTGCCAGGCCTCCTCTTCTGGGTTGACACCGGGCCGCCCTCACAGACTTTTTCCTTGTGCGACAGCTCTTTGAAAATCCTTCGTCTCCTTCCTGTCTGCGCAGTTCTCAGCTTCCCTGGTTCTACGTCCAGCGTTTGCTCGCTACTGCCTCACTTGCTACTTCTTCAATTTCAAACGTTATCTACCTTTCGCGATGCTTCCTGATTCGCTGTCGCCAATCGCAGTCGCGCCTCACCTTTTTAACAGCCTGGGTCTGCGGTGCCACCTACCGGAGGTCTGCTTTACTTTTATCTAATTCCGGTTTTTATTTTAAACAAACTTCTGCTTTTTTCGTACTACATTTATTAAAATAATTTGGGTCTAAAATTAAACTTGTAATGTAAAGCTAAACTCTTATAATCTTCTCCTAGACATAACGAAAATAAACTTGTTCTTATAAAAATAAAGCTGTTCTCATAGAAATAAACTGTTCTTATGAAAATACACTGTTCTTATAAAAATAAAACTTAAAAAGATTCTTGGTTTTGTTTTGGTTCTTTGGGTAGTCTTTCTCTTCTCCTGATCAGCCGCGCTCATCTACGCGGCTGAACCACCGGTTGCACCCTACGACTCATTTCATTGGCCACGAAGCATCTGAAAATAAACCAATGACGGTCTTAAATAAGATCCGACTATGAATACCGACTTAAAGAAACACTAACGGTCTGTTTTTTTTCGAAACACTTTCTGCACTAATGCACACCAGTGCAAGAAGTTTACACTAAAGCGTTCTTTTTATCGAGAATGACGTCATCATGACGTTATCAACGCTGTTCGTTTTCGCAGTGCAACAGCATGTAGTGCAGGCAGTTCAGTGAACTGTTGCACTGAGTCAGGAAGTAGTGTGGCCAGTGCAATGCATAAAAGTGTAGCTTGGAAGTACATGTAAACGTAACGGAAATACGAAAAGTCTCTATCAAGTATGTGGCTGGCATTTTATTGAAATGTGTGAAACATCTTTCTTATTTCATTTTCAAAAATTGTTAATATTATACCATCACACACACATACACAGCAGAAATGTTCAAACATACCACAAAGATGAATTTAAGATGTCAAGATATATTACTTTATGATTTTATATTTATTTTATATTTAGTCATTTATTTAAATTTATGATTGGTAGGGTATTATTATTTATTATTTATGATTGGTAGGGTATATAATATTATAAATTATTAATAAATTTGCTATGTAATAGTGGTTGTATTACAACAAAATCCTTTTCGTCAGAAGAATCAAATAATGCCACGTGATGCACCGTGTTATTTACTATACTCTAGCGTTTCAGCGGTGCGGCGAAAACGAATTGATCTCTTCATTGCACTTTGCACTGAACTATTCTGTACTAGTCTTTCCCAGGGCGGTTTAGTTCAGTTCAGTGCAGTTCTAGTGCAGTTTTAGTGTAGCGAAAAAAAACAGACCTTTAAATCACTTCTGGCTGTGGTCAATTGCAACGTCAATGGGGATATTTCCGCTTTCTGCAGTTAGGAGTGTGAGTGAGCGAGTGAGTGAGGAGTGAGAGAGTTTACTTACATACTGTGGAACGGCGGAGTTGCGAAAGTCGCGTTATTACATGAGCCCGATTGTTTTAATAATGCCTCATATATTGCTGAGCGATTCAATTGCTGTAGAATTGGAAGGTAAATTTGTTGGAATTATGATGTGCAGAGTCGTCATTCACTAGGTGAATTCAATAAAAAAATGTTCTAACGAACTAACCTATTTCGTAAACAATATGTAAACAGCATTGGGCAATATCGCGATAATGCCAACCTAAATCGAGTGATTTACATCTTCCAATATACGTTGTTTATCAAACGTTTCATTTTTTAATTTGTTGCGCATGCATCATTAATTTTGTTTTCATACATTCACAAATATAGATTACGATATGTAACCGTTACTTCGGAACAGAATGTCGACTGCTGCATTATTATGATTGCGTTACAATATTCACTGCCAGTGCTGAAAATCTATGATGCACATAATATGAACTATAGATTTTCAGAATTGTCAGTAAATTTCGAAACATATTCTGTAATGACAATTCCAATTTTTGTCATAGCCCAAGAACCATGGCCTCAACCAATAACTTTATACCAACCATATGAGGTAGAACAGATTTTATTACCTGATAATGCAAACTGTCTGGCAGTACAGGCTTTTCTGAAAATGTGTCAACTTGAATTTGAGATAGAGCCGAGGAAGAATGCGGAGTTCATGTCACCATCTGGTTGTGTACCATTTATTAAATGTGGTACTAAGTTAATATCCGAATTCGATAGTATAGTGACGCATATAGAGAACAAAGGAATAAGCCTATCCAATAATTTGGATCATGATGCCAAAGTAGATATGAGGGCATACGTGTCCCTGGTAAACAATGTGTTTGTAAATGCAGAATTATATATATGCTGGGTGGATGAAATTGTTTTGAACTCAGTCACAAAGCTCAGGCATGGTAGTGTGTATCCATGGCCACTTAATCATTACTTGAACTGGCAAAAGAAAAGAGAAGTCATAAAAAAACTTAGCATACTTGGTTGGTATAACAAAAGTTTAGATGAAGTGTTTGATGATGTAAAAAAATGTTGTATCGCATTGTCAGAGAGGCTGGCGGATGAAGAATTTTTCTTTGGGAAAGAGTAAGTAACTTCTATATATTTTCTATAATGCTTTTTCAAGGTCATTTGTCCATTTACTCACTTATACTTAAATTTGTATTCTAAAAGACCTACTGAAATTGATGCCCTGATATATGGACATATTTATACTCTCACATCACCTTCCTTTCTTTCCAACCGAGGAATCATTGTCACCATTCGTCAGTTTCGGAGACTTATTGAACACATGTTCAGGATTAAACATCGTTATTTTAATTTTGGACGAAAAATTATGGATGGTTTTGAAATAATTGAATCATCATCCAAGAATATTCTGTAGGACGACTTTCAGTCACAACCTGAGTTACTTCCTCCCCTTCTCAAGAATCCCTGTATATTTTCAATAAATTATTACAATGTATAAGTAATTATATACTATTTGCATAAGTACATTTACATTAGCTGAAACTTAAACACATAATGTGTATATATATATATATATATATATATATATATATGTGTGTGTGTGTGTGTGTGTGTGTGTGTGTGTGTGTGTGTGTACAAACAAACATACATACATACATACATACATACATACATACATACATACATACATACATACATACATACATATACACGATTTTAATTGTATATTAACAATTTTACATCTAATAGACCTAATGAGTTGGACGCTTTGGTATTTGGTCACATATTCACGATAATCACGACGCCGTTACCCAACAATGAGCTGGCTAGAATCGTGAAAGGCTATCCAAAGCTTATTAAGCTCTGTAAACACATCGAGACTAGGTATTTCCAGCGTACAGAGGACTAGATAGAACCTTACTCGGGCTTCAGATATGTCGAGTTGCGTTACACTGATCACATTCGTCGTAAATTACGGTTCCTGTGCTTTGCGACTGACACGACGAAGGATAACAACATCAAAGAAAATCTTTGTAATATTCAATGATTTGCCAAATAATTATCGGCTTAAATAACAATTTGTCATTGATAAAAATGATGCCTACGTATCAAATTGAATCTAGTTTATCTCGGCTGCAAGATGGATATATCTGAAGTGCGAGTAATATTAAAGCATGATGTGTAGTACATTTTAATAATGTTATTGATCCAGTAATGTTATAAAATCGAAGATGCGTGCGTGCGCATAGAGATAGAATTCTCTAAAAATCCGGAAACGCTCAAATTTATAGCTCAAGTACCTCGAAAACGATCAACTATAACAAAAAATATGTAAGAAGCAAAGTTATAGAGCTTAAAAAGAATGTACCTAATGATGATGAGAGTTTGACTTTAAGTGGAGTTAAGAAGGTCATATAAAGATCAAGTTGAATTTTTTTAACAGAACTCATTTTTCATAGCATATTCTTGTAGCTTATTTTAAGAGCTTTCCAAAACACTATAATAAAATATTTTTTTCGTTAAGTACATCTCAAGTTACGAGGCCTGAAAGTTACAGTACCGCTGGTATTAGCATTACCTAAGGTGTACCGTGTGGAAGTTATACGGTCGTATTTACACTTCTTGTATGTATATGTGTGTGTCACAATAAAGATAAGAATCCTACGATTCGTCACTCGTAATATTTATTGACTCCGGAGTAGTTAGTCAATAACTCCGTGTTGACATTGGCGACACAATTTAGAACGACAAAAGTATGAACTAACAAAGTGCGGTTCAGCAAGCACTATAAATACTTCGAAGCATTTCTCTTTCTTCATCTAACTTTTGAGTCTGGATAAAGGAAGAAAAATAAGGAAAAAACTTTTGTAACGCTTGCTGGATCGCATTTATATAAAGAATGAAAAATGGCGTGTTGACAACAAAATATTGTTTTGCATCCCATTTCCTTATTTGCTTAATGTGTAGGTATGACTTGTAACATACTTGTTAAACCCATAGAAATGGATGAAAACCAAGATTAGCTTGGAATTTTATACATGGGAGTATATTTTCTACTCCTTTCTCAACAACTGTGAAACCGTTGGTCTGTTTTTTTTAGCTGTACTACTAAACTGCAATAAGTTAGAATGAAACAAGTATATTTTGTCTGGTTCTAACTTACTCATTATTATTTATAGCAAATTTGGCTCCTTGCATTAGTACGTTCTGGCTGCACACTAAGGCCGATCTATATATTAAGTTACATATTAATTTTATTATATATAGTCCGTTTATATAATTTAAAATTATCTTAAATTTATTTCCATATGCTGCACGAATCATTTCACTGGCTAAGAAGTACCTGTAGATGAATTGGAGAAAATGTTAAATATAAGAACGAATTGTAAGCCCGTTAGCCCTTACTACTTACTGTGTACTCAGTGTGCACTAGTGCAAGGGACCGAATTCGCTATTATTCATTATATTGCATCAGCTCAGCAGTATCTAAAAAGAACAGACCACGTGTTTTTTTTCATATGAATAGGGCCTTATTTCACATACCTTTTATAGCTACTTATTGATTATCAGAAGAGGAAAGAAATTTTCTTTCATTTTCACAAGTATCCCCAAGCGATCTCAAGTGTGTTTTATCCAAATACCTGTTTATTTGCGAATGGCACGCGATATTTCTCAACGTATTACTTCTTGCCTTGTGACATCACGAATTCAATATATTCGCGGCGATTACTCCGAATCCTTAACAAAAACAATACTTTATTATAGTATTTTGGAAAGTTTTTGAAAAGCTACAAGAATATACAATAAAGAATGGGGAATTTTATTTTAAAAAATTCAATTTGACCTTCATGTGACTTTGTGAATTCCACCTAAAGTGAAATTTTTATCAATATAGGTAGATTTTTTAGTTCTATAATTTTGCTCCTTACATATTTTTCGCTATAATTTATCGTTTTCGAGATATTTTTGCGTTTTGGACTTTTAGAGGACCTTGTGTGCGTGCGTGTGGGCGCTCAGGATGTCCTGAAATCGAGGTCAATCGCTCAGGAAGTGATAAGGGACGCAAAAACAAGGAAAAAAGTTGATATGAACATACAAGCGAAAATGCGTTATTTTCGAGTTATCGCCATTTTTATGTTGTAACTTGAAATTGCTGTTTCGAATTTTTTATCAAAATTTAAAAAAGGGTTAGTATATGAATTTTATAACATAACTGAACTCAAATGAAAGTTACAGGTTGCTTTAGTATTACCTAGGATGCACGACGTAGAAGTACAGCTTTTAATATTCCTTGGTAGAGATCAGAACCTCACAGTTCGTCACTCCTGTGGTATTTAGTAACTCCAAACCTTCTCTGCTACATGTGGGAGAAGAGGGACCGGGGGAGAAGGGGTATATGTGTGTTTGTCTGTGATAATATGAAAATTATAAGAGGTGTTTAAAATGTCCTTCTTTCGCAAGAATGCAGACTCTAAGCCTTCTTTATAACGAGTCCCGAACTTTGAAACATTTCCACACACACAGACACACATACACGCGCGCGCGCGGCACGGGCGTTTAGAGTCACTAAATACCATAGGAGTGATGAACTATGGGATCCTGATCTCTATCAAGGGATGCTAAGGGCTGTACCTCCACGTGGTGCATTCTGGATAATGTTAAAGCAGCCCGTAATTATTATTTGACTTTAGTTATGTTATAAAACTCATATACTAATTATCTCTTTCTTTAATTTTGATAAAAAATTCGAAACACAGTAATTTCAAGTTACAACATGAAAATGGCGGTAACTTGAAAACATATTTTCATATCAATTTTTTTCCTTGTTTTAGGTCCCCCATCACCTCTTGAGCAATTGACCTCGACTTATGGGACACACACACATATACGTGCGTGCGTGCGTGCGCGCGCGCGCGCGCGCGCGCGCGCGCGCGTGTGTGTGTGTGTGTGTGTGTGTGTGTGTGTGTGTAATTTCATGGTACTCTTAAATAGTTTATTTTCTTTATATAAACGCATAATTTTTTAATTAAACGTCTAGTTCATTCTAAATGCATAATATTGCACGTAACATTTTTCAGCATTTTTCTCCCTCAAGCTATACAGAATCAAATAATTAATGAAACGCTGGAGTTCAAGAATTAAACCAATGATCCATCTAAGGATTTGATTTAGACAAAAAGGTGACCTTTTCCTTAAATAAATTCAAATTTTAAATATCAAGCAAATTATACTAAAAGAAGTTGAGGTACAGAATATTGAAGGCTCTGCCTTGATTGGGTATAAAATTTTGTTTTTGTAAAGTATACCATCAATTTTACAAAGTTAATATTTTTGTGGTGTTATTTATATGTTAATGGGGCCATTTAACAATTACGTCACGCAAAATTTGACTATTTTATAACCACTCCTCTTCCTTTTTCGTGACATTTTGTCATTAAGTATTTGGATTCTTTTCCAATATTACGTAACATGTGGATAACCCTTCCCCCTCTTTGTTTACACATTGTTATTAAATTTCTTGAGATTCAGCATGAAAATAAACACCATGTACCGTGAGCTTAATGTGACGTTCCATAGCCTTTAATCCCCTCCTCTCCCATCACAGCTGTCAAAGAAGCTAATATATGCCTCCTTTGTGGTGTGACGTAATTGTTGAATGATCCCTATAATGATAAATATAATTTTATAAAACAGCAGTATTGTATATTGTTAAATGCGCTGTTTTTATATAAATTAATATACTGATATCGATGTCATATAACGAAATAGAAAAAAGAATCTAGTCAATACACCATTTTTCTATATCCATCTTTATCACATATCAAGAAGTAACCATCTTTCATGTATCGTGAGTAATGGCTGCATGTAAAATTGAATATAATCTTCTTTTGAATTTCATAATTCTAATGTGTAATATATGTCCCAATATTTCTTGTCTTCAGCGTTTCAGTACCAATAAAATATGAAACAAGCGTTTATTTATATAATTTACTTTTCTCCTCAATTTATTTCTACTTATAACAAACATTACAAGAATAATTTATTGTAACATGAAATAATAATACTCCGCAATTGTGATGTAGGAAAACAAAAATGTTTAGGATGGTTAGTTATACACAACGAAAGCGATTTCACGAATAACAATCTGCTTTATTATTATAATATATTTGTGCATAATGTATGATTGTTATAATCTTAAACTATGATAAACACTATACGAGATGCAAGTCTTTTTGCGATGCCTTCTGTTACACATCATGTCGCTTACTTTGTTCTTTTGATACTATGAATTCGGACTATGCTTCTTATGTTATGAATTATACACAAGTTATATATAATGTAGTACACGTAATCAAACGTATAACTATATAATTAAACGCATAGTATAATTATATAATTATCGACAGATACTTTTATTAACATCTTATATATATTTCTTTTAAGAACTGCAATCTAGAGATGTAGATATAAAAATCGTGACAATGATAAACAATTGCGATTCACAGCGAGATCAGAGAATGTAATATTGTTAACAGAAAAAAAAAAGCTTTCAAGACAGATGCAATCTGGATAGCAAGATAAATAAATTGAGATCATTTCGCACTAGCGGTACAAAAGAGACGGTGCATTAATCAATTCTCATAGGTATTGCTTTCAAGTATACATCATAAAACAAAATATTTTAAGTATGAGTTCTGTTATGTACAAATATCGTATAAACACATCATGGAGAGACTTCGTACTCATATGGAAGTATTAATAGAAACTATACAATAAATCAAGACTATTGTGCTCATGCTGTCTCCTTACTATGCAGGATTCGATATTTCTAATTTGACTTTCAGCCTAAACGAGCTAACGGAATCGCACGTTATTGTACGCAATGTTTGCATTTATAAATATTGTTTCGCACGATGTGAATCGAAACTATAATTTCAATGATCTAGAATTGTTTAATTCATCTCTATATACCAACAGGTATATCCATTTGTGAAACATTGTCAAGTGTATAATATAGCGACTTATGTATTGTGGAATAACTATTATATATTTATCTATTTAATATCTTTAAGATATTTTGTTATTCTTTTTTCTTTCTTTTTTTCTTACGTCGATCGATATCTCTCGCAGACGTTGAATTTGGTGCATGCTACTTAAATTAATCTGGTGGTAAAAAGCTGAATAGCCGAAATTGTTCTCTGATGTGTGGCCTTACGTCTCCTCCCTACGATAAGAATATAAAATTGAAAATTGATATTAGTTTAATATGAAGTCTAGCAGGAAGATGATGGAAAGAAAACAACTTACCCAGTTCACTAGGTTTTCTAAGAATGGTAACAACTTCATCAGCTCGTTATCGGAGCGATCGGCGAACCAACTTTCTATAGGTATGCCATTTTCAAGCTATAATAACACAAAGAACACTTAATCAAAATTAAGTAATAATACGTAATAATCAAGATTAGATAAGTAATAATACGTAATAATCAAGATAATAATACTATGGTCGAGGAGCGTGACAGTGAACGTGTTAAACAGTTAACGTGTTAACAGTCACAATAACTACTCAGGAACCTTAACCCTCCACTGATCTCGTATGAAAGGAGTACTCGGTTTAAATTTTATTCTCTAATTATATTACTTATGTAACACTATTAACTATTACAAGTTAATTTTTTCTCAGTAATGATTTTGTAATAGCATTTTTCATTAATAACAATAATATAATGGTATCTTTTATCCTTATTTTGCACATGTAGAATACATGTATATAGCATAGAATACAGTGAATTAAACAAAAAATAATGGTCAATAGAAAAAAGTAATCATAAACAAAAAGTAAATTATAACTAGTTATTTCTTAAATTACAACAACAGATTATTTTTCAAAAAGGATAACGGTAATTATAATTTTTTTTTTTTTTTTCAGTGAATAACGAGTAACAGTAACGTGTCTCTTTTAAATAATAGCTTTCCCAACCATATTTTTAACTCTTTAAGGATAGAAGTCACAAATAAGAGATTTAACAAATAGGTATCTAACCAAAAGTTGTTTGTTAAGAGTGCAGGGTTCGAGGAGCGTGTGATTAGTGCTGATCAGTCGTTCTATTCTTGTCATATATTTAATGAGGGACAAAAATGAAATGACGCATTAGCGCTGATAACGTGCTCCCCGAACGCAATTTAATGCTCCTGAGCAGTCGCTATCACTGTCCTTGTGATGATTTCTTGCGTTATATTTTCAAATAAAAAGATACCCGCGAAATGACATTTGTAATCGATTCAGCACATTTGTAAAATTGTCTAAATACTTTCTTTTTACTCGAGCAATCAACAAATAGTCGTAAAATTAATTTGACATTGAATCTTCCTTTCTAACTTCTTTTCTCATGATTTGTCAATGTTAATTTGACGACTATTAATTGATTGTCCAAATAAAAGGAAAGTGGTCAGACAATTTTACAAGTGAGATAAATAGAGACAAATATTATTTTATGGATATATCTTTTTATTTGAAAGTATAACGCAATAAAACCTTGATATGCGTTTTCTCACTTCTGACGTCAACACGTTCGCTGCCAACTACAAATATATTCATAATTGGTATATGAGCCTCACAAGCTAACAACAAACATATTCGTATGTCGATTACCGACCTCCTATGCCAAGCACGAATTAATCTGTAGTATAAGCACGTTAATTTAAACTCTTGGCTTGTGAATAAAGTGGAGGCATATCTAGTGGCTTGGTAGAAGCAAATATGTTAAACAAGCACAATCACAATGACTACTTAGGAACCTTAGCCCTCCACTGATCTCGTATGAAAGGAGTACTCGGTTTAAATTTTATTCTCTAATTATATAAATATAACGTAAAAGTGATTGAAATTTTCTGACTTTTTTCACTTATAATCCTCTACAGATTATATTTGTGTAGTCGTTTTCTCAATTTCATTAGTGTAGCTTTCACTAATGGATTTCAGAAATATTAGCGCACGATAAATCTAAGAGGCGGGGAGGCTATTTAACACTACCGCGTCATTTTATCTTTATTACTCTTCACATATACAACAAGAGTAGAATGACGCGGTAGCGCTAATTACCGTCTCCCCGAACGCACTCTGAGTATTACATTCATAGCGAGGGCAGATATATATAGGTTGCGGATGCGATTTACTTGAAATTGCAAATGCTTAAAAGCGCTTGAAGAATATGATGGTTTAAACTATAGAGCCTATCTATATATACATATAGAATAGACTGAGCATTTCCATTGGAAGGCTGAAGCCGGCACTAGTAAAGAGGAAAATAGAGCCAGCAGTGTTTTCTTTGTCTAATTATGTAGTTGGTAGGGAGAAGGAAAGAGAAGAAGCGACGCATGTGATCTGTTCTTTTTAGCTGAACTGGCTACATTAGTTCAAGAAATTTACATATCATTTACATTGAAATGTATGAAGCGTACGTACAAAATTCTCACGCTTTAGTGTGCATAAATTTCTCAAACTAGTGCAGCTAATTCAGCTAAAAAGAATAGACCAATGATACAAATATTATTTACAAACTTAACCCTTTGCACTCGAGGGCTCCGGAGTGGAGCCATTTAAAATTTGTCTTCAAACTCGAGGACTCCGCTATGAAGCCCTCGAGTGCAAAGGGTTAAACTTTACGCACATTGATAAGCTGATCGATGGTTTAAATGAACTAATAACTACGAGCGCACACACTGATGTATTATTTATGTGTCTTCTCTCATAATCAAATATACATTATTCCTTTCTTTCCTTCATTATGTCCATTCTCACTCTTGTATTTCCCCTATATCGTCCTTTCTTACAATATATCGTAACAAAAAATGTACCACTATTAATATATCTCTGTCCTTCGATCTTAGCTTCAGTTCTTCAAATGTAATGCTCAATTTATTCTATATGTCTATGGTCTATACAACACTTCGAAGCATTTACAACATAAAGTGAATCCTACGGTAGGATGCAGCTGCTACGTTCCGATATTCATTTCCAATACTGAAAATCAATGACATAATATATATAATATGAACTATAGATTTTCAATATTGGTAGTACATATTGGAACACAGCCACAGTCAACACGACTTGCGCTGTTACAAACTTAAACTTTACGCACATTGATAAGCTGATCGATTTAAAGGCCTCCGCACAGAAATGTTCGTAACATTTTAAGTTACCGTAAGTGCTGGCCTTAAACTTAGGCTGTGCTTAACATTAAATTTAGGTTAACGCACAAAGAAAGCTTTAATATAATATATTAGGAACATCATTCATCTATAAGATAACAGTATATAAAATATTTTATGATAAAAAAATTAACAGGAATATACTTGACAAATTAATATCTTATCAATTGCTATTATCTTTTCCATAGCACACTATTTTTCATTTAATTGCGATTGAATAAATATAGATTGAATTATTTATCTTTGTTCTTATTTACAATATAATAATATTTTGAAGATATAAAAAAAAGGATTCTAGTAGTTATACATGAATAAGATGTTGAGAACTAATATTGAAAATATCAAATCGCTATTTCAGAAAGAGGTGATATACAATTATTTTATAATTATTAAATGAAAAATCGGTACATTGTAAAAAAAAAGTAATAAAAACTGATATAATATTAATTTAGCTAGTTCGTAATCTAGCTTAGTTAAATATTTTTGTTACTTTTATTATAAAATAGAGAGCATCTAAGAGTAAAATGCTAACTTTTATCTTATGTGACTACTCCACGATTAGCTGACATAAATATGTGCTGACTTGGACATTGCGATATCAATGCAAAATAGATGATATTATTATTATCGATACTTTATAACATATGTCAGTGTGGACATATAACTATTAATATGTGTTCGTATACGATCAATGGCTATGTTCAGAAAACAAGCAATTGGTGAACAGTCGATTGGTTTTTGATTGGTTGATTTGTTAGATCTCTAAATTTAGACCAATTACGTTGACGAATTATCCAACCGTTGTGCAACACGCTCTCTTCTAAACGCGCCTAATGATCGCTAACTTCATAAATTTCACATCTTTAGAAATAAATAATAAAAAATAAATTTCACATCCGAGAAATATCATCAATTTGTGACATATCTGTTTTAGATTAGTGTCGCAACGTCTAAGTCAGCATATGTTTATGTCAGCCAGTCACAGAATGTTTATATGTAGCAATCAGATTTCCAATCGGATCAATCATAGTGCTATCAATGTACTAGTGAAAAAGTTTTCTAGACTAATCGGATTTCTGTGTCTGTGAGATAATCTTAATAACTTTGAAACGGATACTGTAAAATGCATAAAATTATTCTGTTTTGAAAATTTCTCGAAGTAAGCTACAAGAATATGTAATAAAATAGGGAGGTCCGTTTAAACAATTTAAGGTGACCTTGTCTTGACCTTGACGATCTAAACTCAAACTGATAAGATTAATAAATAGACCGTTTTAAACCCTACAATTTTTATGTGAAATACTTTCCTGTAAAACTTATATTTTTCGATTTTTTTAAAGGTCCCGACTTTTTCGTGACACCCTATTATGTTATGTTAGAGAAACAAATAGTCTATAATCTAAGTTTCAATCGTTAATATACGCCACGAAAGTCGCCAAAATAAAAAAAAAGAAACAATCGTTAACATATAAGTTTATTGAAATATAATATTTTCAGATAAATGGGGATAAATGAAGAAAGTTTGAGCAGAATCAGTTTGTTATGTATATTATACAATTAAAAATAAAATTGTTATTTTTAATGTTCTAGATAACATAATTGTGTAATAACTCATAATTATTTTACCTAGAACATTAAAAATGATAACAATATTGTTTTTAATTGTATAATATACGTGCCAAACTGATCCTGCTCAAACCTTTCTTCGTTTATCCCTATTTATCTGAAAACATTATATTTCAATAAACTTATATGTTAACGTTTGTTTCTTTTTTTTATTTTGGCGACTTTCGTGCTGTATATTAACGATTGAGACTTAGATTATAGTTTATTTGTTTCTCTAACGTAACATAATAGGGTGTCCCGAAAAGGTCGGGACCTTTAAGAATATCGAAAAATATTAGTTTTATATATTTTATAATATCCGTTTCAAAGGTATCGACTCTTCTACGGTAAGATGTCTAGCCAACTAAGGCAAGATTTGTCGTAGATCCAGCCAACCAAGGCAAGATTGGTCGTGGATCCAGCCAACTAAGGCATGAACTTAACATAAAAGATAACTTTGAAACAGGTATTGCAAAATATATAAAATTATATTGTTTTGGAAAACTCTCGAGGTAAACTACAAAAATATGCAACAAATAGGATGCTCCGTTTAAAAAAATTAAGGTGACCTTGTCCTGACCTTG